TCCCTCGAAGATCGACACATTCCAATCTGACATCTTCTTGAGGGGCAGAGCACGCTCCTTCTGTTCCATAGAAACACAAAAATACAAAATAAGCCCACTTCTTGTTATTCTCATCGACGCCACCTAATTTAATTTAGACTTCAAACGGGTCTCCCAGGTAACGCGCGTCTTCCTTGTTTGGGTGTGTTGTCACTTCCTTCTTTGGCCGTAGATAGCTATTACCAGCTCATCGCCCTGTACTATCCTGGGATAATATTGCCTTACAGTCTTCTCTTCTGAAAACCTCCTCCCCTGTCTCTTTTTCCTATTCTTTCTCTCATCTTCCCTCTTTCCTCCTCTCTCTTCCATTTGTTTCACTTGCCATGCCTCACCCTCCTCCTTTACATCTCTCTCTCTCTGCTCTCACAATCTTCTCAAAAATTCTCTGGTTCTCTTAACTTTCTCCACTTTCCATATTTTTCTCTCTCTGTCTCTCTCACCACACATACAAAGACTCTAGTAGCAAGACGGGGTAACTTCAAAGCTTATTCTTTCTGACAACTTTTGATATGATGTACTTTAAAATGTGAAGTGTGTGACGTCTAAACAATGATGCGTCTGGTGTCTTTTGCTCTAGTCTACTCTTGTTTATTTAGGGACAGATCAAAATTTACTGGGGGAGGGGTGGTCCAAAAAAGGGGAGGGTTGTCAAAATTTTCTGTGGGCTTTTGGGAGGGTTGTGTGGTTTTTTATTTGGCACAGGGGAGGTAGTGCATTTTTTCCCTGGTTTACATTTGCTCTTCTGCACGTATTTTCCCTATAAACAATGCCTTGACTTACTTTTGATATTACCCTAATTGTTACGGATACAGGTATCCTGTATGTGTTTTTGTGTTTTTCCTCTCCTTCTGCCCTAATCACAGGTGTCCTTTGTGTTCCTGATTGGAGGTCGTTGGTGTGTCCCACCTGTCAGTCATCAGTTAATCTGCTGATTGCTGAGGTGGACCAATCAGTGGACATTTCTCCTGATTGCACCACCTGTTTCTGTTTTCTTACCCAATCATATCACACATCCCCTTGTTTTAAAAGCTAGTTAGTTGTGTTTTCTGACACTCTTTTTGTTTGTGAGTATGTATATGGTGGTGTCTTGTTTTTGTGTACTCACTCGTTAACTGTTTAGTCCTTATGGTACCTATATTGTTTGTTTGTGCCTGGGAATTTAGCAAGTCGCCCTTGGGCATACACTACTCGTAGGAAAACCTTGTCTAAACACACTAGTTAGACCTGAGCGGACCACCCACTGTATTTTTGTATGGTTAGCAGTGAGCTCAGTAGTTATTGAGGCAGGCAAGATCAGTTTATGGGTTTTTGACTTTATTGTTTCATTCCTTGGGTCCAGCCCCGCCCCTTTTCCCCAAACCTTTAACGTGTGTTTTATAATAAACATTTATTGTTTGACGGCAGTTTATGGTTGTCGGTGTATTTTGTTCTAACTGTTCCTTGGCAATATTCTGATTCGCATGAGTTATGTTACGGGCCTCTTTTCCATCCACCCTAGACTTTTAAAGCCACAGGGTTCATAACACTAAAGTTTACAAACGTTTGTGAAGGTTTGGTAGGGTGTGGCTATTATTAAGGTTTAGCTACTGCTGGCCTATGATATATAGGCAGAGCGCCCCGGCGCTCCATCTGACTCTGACAGTTGAACTTCAGGAAGACTGTTTCAAGCCTACCAGAGTTACTCCTATAATATAACAATATAATGCTTATCTTTATACAAAATATTCTGATAGAAAATGTACGCATTAGCCTCCTTCTGTACGTCTATATCTGTAAAGCAGACGCAGTAGCCATTTGACATAAAGAAATGCATGTCAGTGTTGTAGCATGAATCTATCTATCTCTCTCTATCTCTCTCTGGGGTTAGGTCTAAGCTTATCTTCCTTTATATAGGCTATATATATATATATATATATAGAACCAGTCAAAAGTTTGGACACACCTACTCATTCCAGGGTTTTTCTTTATTTTTACTATTTTCTACATTGTAGAATAATAGTGAAGACATCAAAACTATGAAATAACACATATGGAATCATGTAGTAACCAAAAAAGTGTTAAACAAATCAAAATATATTGTCTTCAGGCTCTGATCAGTCCCTACACCCAAACGAGGGCATTGCGTTCATCCACCTCTGGCCTGCTGGCTCCCCTACCTCTGCTGAAACACAGTTCCTGCTCAGCCCAGTCAAAACTGTTCACTGCTCTGGCACCCCAATGGTGGAACAAGCTCCCTCACGACGCCAGGACAGCGGAGTCACTCACCACCTTCCGGAGACATTTGAAACCCCACCTCTTTAAGGAACACCTGGGATAGGATAAAGTAATCCTCCTCCATACTTTACGGTGGGAAATACACATGCGGAGATCATCCATTCACCCATACCACGTCTCACAAAGACACGGCGGTTGGAACCAACAATCTCCAATTTGGACACCAGACCAAAGGCACATTTCCACCGGTCTAATGTCCATTGCTCGTGTTTTTTTGGACCAAACAGGTCTCTTCTTATTATTGGTGTCCTTTAGTAGTGGTTTCTTTGCAGCAATTCGACCATGAAGGCCTGATTCACACAGTCCCCTCTGAACAGTTGATGTTGAGATATGTCTGTGACTTGAACTGCAGCAGAGGTAAATCTGAGGTCGCAGTTCCGGAGCGATCCACTAGATGTCCTCCTCCGACAACCTTTGGCACCTCCTCATTCACAGTCTGGACTAATCATGATCCACCTGTGTCTACCTGTTCACCTGTGTATTTATGCCCTCACTTCCCTGTGTTCCCTTGTTCAGTTTTCTCTGCTAGTTTCCCTATGCCAAGCAGTACTAATCAGTGTCTGATCACGAGACAAATGTACAGTGGCTTGCGAAAGTATTCCCCCCCCTTGGCATTTTTTCCTATTTTGTTGCCTTACAACCTGGAATTTAAATGGATCTTTTGAAGGGGTTGCATCACTTTGAAGATGCAAAATATTTTTTTTCGTGAAACAAACAACAAATAAGACCAAAAAAAAGAGAAAACTTGAGTGTACATAACTATTCACGCCCCCCAAAGTCAATACTTTGTAGAGCCACCTTTTGCAGCAATTACCGCTGCCAGTCTCTTGGGTATGTCTCTATAAGCTTGCACACCTCTCATCTTGGGGTGATGAGAGGTGTTGGGTTTACGCCAGACATAGCGTTTTCCTTGATGAATAAAAAACTCAATTTTAGTCTCATCTGACCAGAGTACCTTCTTCCATATGTTTGAGGAGTCTCCAACATGCCTTTTGGCGAACACCAAACGTGTTTGCTTACTTTTTTCTTTAAGCAATGGCTTTTTTCTGGCCACTCTTCCGTAAAGCCCAGCTCTGTGGAGTGTACGGCTTAAAGTGGTCCTATGGACAGATACTCCAATCTCCACTGTGGAGCTTTGCAGCTCCTTCAGGGTTATCTTTGGTCTCTTTGTTGCCTCTGATTAATGCCTTCCTTGCCTGGTCCGTGAGTTTTGGTGGGCGGCCCTCTCTTGGCAGGTTTGTTGTGGTGCCATATTCTTTCCATTTTTTTATAATGGATTTAACGGTGCTCCGTGGTATGTTCAAAGTTTCAGATATTTTTTTATAACCCAACCCTGATCTGTACTTCTCCACAACTTTGTCCCTGACCTGTTTGGAGAGCTCCTTGGTCTTGCTTGGTGGTGCACCTTAATTAGTGGTGTTGCAGACTCTGGGGCCTTTCAGAACAGGTGTACTGTATATATACTGAGATCATGTGACACTTAGATTGCACACAGGTGGACTTTATTTAACTAATTATGTGACTTCTGAAGGTAATTTGTTGCACTATATCTTATTTAGGGGCGTCATAGCAAAGGGGGTGAATACATATGCACGCACCACTTTTCCGTTATTTATTTTCAAGTTAATTTTATTCAGTTCACTTCACCAAATTGACTATTTGGTGTATGTCCATTACCTGAAATCCAAATAAAAATCCATTTAAATTACAGGTTGTAATGCAACAAAATAGGAAAAATTCCAAGGGGGATGAATACTTTTTCAAGGCACTGTATATACATATATATATATTTTGGTGTTGAAAAATCAAACCATGATATTGAATTGCCCGAAGTCGGTATGCTTTGTTTATTGGTTGTGTGGTGAATTGTTACAGAAACCTGTTGTTGGAAAATTTGTTAAATATATTTTATATAATTATGGCATCAAAATGTTGAAAATTGTATTGCCCACTAGCTGATCATCTTCGTCAGCCTGCTCTGATTGTAGTGTAATGAAACAGGCAGGGAGAGTGAGCTCATCTCTGGTGGTTGGCGAACCCCCAACCTTCTGGCCCGTAGCCCTGCGTGGCATTGACTGTGCCACAAAAACATGCTGAAGTGACAAAGTCGATATCCACGTTTATAAACACAGGGTCACTACAGCTATTGTTATTTGTGGTCGTAAACATTATTTTTAGTTTATTCTATGAGGGGGTAGGCTATTCCATTTATTTTACTGTACAAGGGGAGAGTCATGTGAAAATATATTTTACTTTGGGGAGGGGGGTGCATTCTTTTTAATGACACCTTGAGTTGGACCAGCTCCTCCCCCACAGTACATTTTGATCTGTCCCTTATATAAACAAACAATTAATCTCCCTCTCTCTCTCTCTCTCGCTCTCTCTCTCTCTCTTGCTCTCTCTCACTCCCTCTCTCTATCTCTCTCTCTCCCTCCCTCCCTCCCTCCCTCCCTCCCTCTTCTCTTCTCTTCTCTTCTCTTCTCTTCTCTTCTCTTCTCTTCTCTTCTCTTCTCTTCTCTTCTCTTCTCTTCTCTTCTCTTCTCTTCTCTTCTCTTCTCTTCTCTTCTCTTCTCTTCTCTTCTCTTCTCTTTCACTCTCTCTCTCTATATCTAGACAAGATTGATGATGAGTTGGAGATGACCATGGTGTGTCACAGGCCTGAGGGTCTGGAGCAGTTGGAGGCCCAGACCAACTTCACCAAGAGAGAGCTACAGATCCTCTACCGCGGCTTCAAGAACGTACTCACAGCCTCCTCCCTCCTCCTCCCTTCCACTGCCTGTCTATCTTCATCTTATTTTCCTCTCTCTTTCTTTACTCTGCTATCTCTCTCCCTGCCACTCTTATGTATACTCCTGCTTATGTTGATTCACATCTTTACAGGTGTTTGTCAAAGCTCTGTTCTCTTTCATCTCTGACTTAGATATGTAAATGCGTTTAGCTTTGTGCCTTCATCACTTCATATGGTGCTAATCAGATTGTACGGCCTGCAGCTAGAACAACTAAACCTGTCATACACCATAACAACAATTACATGCTATATTACCCATATAAACCAAACATGGAGAAAATTATTATATATATAATTTTTACATTTTAGTAATTTAGCAGATGCTCTTATCCAGAGCGACTTACAGGAGCAATTAGGGTTAATCCCCCACCTAGTCGGCTCGGGGATTAGAACCAGAGACCTTTCGGTTACTGGCACAACGCTCTTAACCACTAAGCTACCTGCCACCCAATATATATAAACATATATTCTCTACATACACACATGCTCAAATACCCACCCACACATTCACATACACCCATATAGAAGTTATATGGAAATTGCTAGTTAATTGCCAGTTAATTAGCTGTCAGATTTGATTGACGTTAATTCTCTGTAACCGTGGGTGGTGCCATTCGAGTGTAAATTATTGGTTGATCTGGCTGTTACCCAGAAGAAGCTGCATAACTTTTCCTTGAAATAGTGTTTTCACATGGTTTCAACAGGAGTGTCCGAGTGGAGTGGTGAATGAAGAAACATTTAAACACATCTATGCCCAGTTCTTTCCCCATGGAGGTACAGTACAGCCAGATACTTCTCATTTAGACACATAACATGCCCTTTCTTACTTGTTTGGGACTCATTTACAAGCACTGCTATGGGATCATAAAATCTCATGTCTTTATCTGGTTGTTTTGCAGATGCCAGCACTTACGCTCATTATCTCTTCAATGCGTTTGACACAACAAACAATGGATCCATTAAGTTTGAGGTACAAACCATACACCATCACTATCACTCAGTGGACAGTTTAAATCAGGGGAGGCAACTAGATTCAGCCGTGGGAAGATTTTTGTTGGAGCGGATGGTCGGGAGTCCAGAACATAATGATAATAATTTGTACACTGTAAATTGACCACAACTAAGCCCAAAAAGAGATTGTATTTGAAAATAACAATAATTCCATACCCTGATTACATTGAGATACTATCACCTTTGAATATATATATATATTTTTTTTGTGGGAATACTTGGGAACAGATTTCCTAAATTAAACTCTTTTTTTTCCTGAATTCCTGGTGATTTTAGTCCCCCCCCCCCCCAAAAAAAAAATAAACACATGTTTTTTTATTCTTTACTAAAAACTTTGGGGTGCCATAAGAAACCTGTTGCCGACCACTGCTTTAAATGAAGGAATATGAAGAATTATGTATATCTTATTTATACTAGTGTTATCACTCAGTCCTCACTAAGTATTTTCTCTTTATTCTCACTCATGTGGTGACTCTCTCAGGAGTTTGTAATGGGACTGTCTACACTGCTGCGGGGCACTATGAGAGAGAAGCTGGAGTGGACTTTTCATCTTTACGACATCAACAACGATGGCTACATTAACAGAGAGGTCTCTGTGTTTTTTTTTTACATGTCAGTTATACACTGCTCAAAAAAATAAAGGGAACACTTAAACAACACAATGTAACTCCAAGTCAATCACACTTCTGTGAAATCAAACTGTCCACTTAGTAAGCAACACTGGTTGACAATAAATATCACATGCTGTTGTGCAAATGGAATAGACAACAGGTGGAAATTATAGGCAATTAGCAAGACACCCCCAATAAAGGACTGGTTTTGCAGCTGGTGACCACAGACCACCTCTCAGTTCCTATGCTTGGTGGTTGATGTTTTGGTCACTTTTGAATGCTGGCGGTGCTTTCACTCTAGTGGTAGCATGAGACGGAGTCTACAACCCACACAAGTGGCTCAGGTAGTGCAGCTCATCCAGGATGGCACATCAATGCGAGCTGTGGCAAGAAGGTTTGCTGTGTCTGTCAGCGTAGTGTCCAGAGCATGGAGGCGCTACCAGGAGACAGGCCAGTACATCAGGAGACGTGGAGGAGGCCGTAGGAGGGCAACAACCCAGCAGCAGGACTGCTACCTCCGCCTTTGTGCAAGGAGGAGCAGAAGGAGCACTGCCAGAGCCCTGCAAAATGACCTCCAGCAGGCCACAAATGTGCATGTGTCTGCTCAAATGGTCAGAAACAGACTCCATGAGGGTGGTATGAGGGCCCGACGTCCACCACAGGTGGGGGTTGTGCTTACAGCCCAACACCGTGCAGGACGTTTGGCATTTGCCAGAGAACACCAAGATTGGCAAATTCGCCACTGGCGCCCTGTGCTCTTCACAGATGAAAGCAGGTTCACACTGAGCACATGTGACAGACGTGACAGAGTCTGGAGACACCGTGGAGAACGTTCTTCTGCCTGCAACATCCTCCAGCATGACCGGTTTGGCGGTGGGTCAGTCATGGTGTGGGGTGGCATTTATTTGGGGGGCCGCACAGCCCTCCATGTGCTCGCCAGAGGTAGCCTGACTGCCATTAGGTACCGAGATGAGAACCTCAGACCCCTTGTGAGACCATATGCTGGTGCGGTTGGCCCTGGGTTCCTCCTAATGCAAGACAATGCTAGACCTCATGTGGCTGGAGTGTGTCAGCAGTTCCTGCAAGTGGAAGGCATTGATGCACATCTGGGACATCATGTCTCGCTCCATCCACCAACGCCAAGTTGTGATTTTCTGGATTTTATTTTCTCATTTTGTCTGTCATAGTTGACGTGTACCTATGATGAAAATTACAGGCCTCTCTCATCTTTTTAAGTGGGAGAACTTGCACAATTGGTGGCTGACTAAATACTTTTTTCCCCCACTGTATATTGAAAGATTCACGTATTGAAAGATTCACATATGATGCAATCTTGTATTAATACAGTTTGTATTTCTGTGTTTCAGGAGATGACTGAGATTGTGAGGGCCATTTACGACATGATGGGGAAATATACCTACCCTGCACTCAAGGGAGATGTCCCTAAACAGCATGTGGATGCTTTTTTCCAGGTGACTTTACCTGACATCCTATAGTACAATGTAATACCAAAGCAGATGCTTACTCTACCCCTTAGTAGGGCACAACAGTTTACACCACATAATCATTTCATACTTCCTGAAAAATCATGTACATTTCTCTCACTTTTTTCCTTCCCACAGAAAATGGATAAAAACAAAGATGGAGTTGTGACTTTAGAGGAGTTCATTGTCGCATGCCAGGAGGTATGTATAGAACATGCATGTTTATACATTTTATATTGCCGTTGGTGTCTACAGTGCATTCGGAAAGTATTCAGACCCCTTCCCTTTTTCCACATTTGTTACGTTACAGCCTTATTCTAAAATGGATTAAATAAATACAAATCTCATCAATCTACACAGAATACCCCATAATGACAAAGTAAAAACAGGTTTTTATACTTTTTTGCAAATTTAAAAAAAGAAATAACAGAAAACGTATTTATTTATTTATTTATTTATTTTATGATTGAATATTAAAACATACAATCTACCGGCAGTGAAGCCGCTCAACATTTACATTACATTCAGTCATCTAACTGGCTCCTGTCCAGAGCGACCCACAGGAGCAACCAGGGTCAAGCGCCCCGCCCAAGGGCACGTCGACAAATCTCCCACCAAGTAAAAATGGGGACCCGAACCAGCGACCTATTGTCCACTGTCCCAAGCTCCCAACCGCCAGGCCACCAACCATCCAAGATCCCCCCACAGTTCACGGAGAACTGCTCCTCAACCATCCGAGTTGCAACATTCTGTCTTACTGTCTTTCTCCTCTTCTCCCCTCAGGATGAAATGATGATGAGGTCCATGCAGCTCTTCGAAAATGTGATGTAAAAAAGGAGCTGATGGAAGGAAGGAGAGAGGAAATTAGATAATGAGAGAGAATGTGTGTGTGTGTGTGTTTCAGTGCATTTGTGTGTGTGTGCGTGTGTGTGCGTGTGTGTGCGTGTGTGTGTGTGTGTTTGTGTATGTCCACACATGTTTGTTTATTCTTGTGTGTCTGTCAGAGTGGATGAATGTGGAAGTACACTACAAGTCAAAAGTTTGGACACGCCTACTGATTCAAGGGTTTTTCTTAATTTTTACAATTATTTACATTGTAGAATAAAAGTGAAGACATCAAAACTATGAAATAACACATGTAGTAACCAAAAAAGTGTTAAACAAATCAAAATATATTTTATATTTGAGATTCTTTGAAGTAGCCACCCTTTGCGTTGATGACAGCTTTGCACACTCTTGGCATTCTCTCAACCAGCTTCATGAGGTAGTCACCTGGAATGCATTTCAATTAACATATGTGCCTTGTTAAAAGTTAATTTGTGGAATTTCTTTCCTTCTTAATGCGTTTGAGCCAATCAGTTGTGTTGTGACAAGGTAGGTGGGGTATACAGAAGATAGCCCTATTTGGTAAAAAACCAAGTCCATATTATGGCAAGAACAGCTCAAATAAGCAAAGAGAAATGACAGTCCATCATTACTTTAAGACATGAAGGACAGTCAATACGGAAAATTTCAAGAACTTTGAAAGTTTCTTCAAGTGCAGTCGCAAAAACCATCAAGTGCTATGATGAAACTGGCTCTCATGAGGACCGCTACAGGAATGGTAGACCCAGAGTTACCTCTGCCGCAGAGGTTAAGTTCATTAGAGTTACCAGTCTCAGAAATTGGAGCCCAAATAAATGCTTCACAGAGTTCAAGTCACAGACACATCTCAACATCAACTGTTCAGAGGGGACTGTGTGAATCAGGCCTTCGTGGTCGAATTTCTGCAAAGAATCCACTACTAAAGAACACCAATAAGAAGTAGAGACCTGCTTGGGCCAAGAAACATGAGCAATGGACATTAGACCGGTGGAAATTTGTTATTTGGTCTGGAGTCCAAATTGGAGATCTTTGGTTCCAACCGCCATGTCTTTGTGAGATGCGGTGTGGGTGAATGGATGATCTCACCATAAAGCATGGAGGAGGAAGTGTTATGGTGTGGGGGTGCTTTGCTGGTGACACTGCTTGTGATTTATTTAGAATTCAAGGCACACTTAACCAGCATGGCTACCACAGCATTCTGCAGCAATATGCCATCCCATCTGGTTTGGCCTTAGTGGGACTATCATTTGTTTTTCAACAGGACAATGACCCAACACACCTCCAGTCTGTGTAAGGGCTATTTTACCAAGAAGAAGAGGGATGGAGTGCTACATCAGATGACCTGGCCTCCACAATTCCCCGATCTCAACCCAATTGAGATTGTTTGGGATGAGTCGGACGGCAGAGTGAAGAAAAAGCAGCCAACAAGTGCTCAGCATATCTGGGAACTCCTTCAAGACTTTTAGAAAAGCATTCCAGGTGAAGCTGGTTGAGAGAATGCCAAGAATGTGCAAAGCTGTCATCAAGGCAAAGGGTGGCTATTTGAAGAATATAAAATATAACAAATATTTTCATTTGTTTAACACTTTTTTGGTTACTACATGATTCCATGTGTTATTTCATAGTTGTGATGTCTTCACTATTATTCTGCAATGTAGAAAATAGTAAAAATAAAGAAAAACCCTTGAATGAGTAGGTGTGTCCAAACTTTTGACTGGTAGTGTATGTCTATCTCTCTCATCTCTCATCTAACTTGTCAGCATTTATGTGTTTGCCAAATAATGTCTCTGCCTGGCTACCTGCCTGGGTATGAAGCCAGAACCGCTGAGAGAACACTGGACTTGGTTGTCCTATTGCTAAGCCTTGGAGTATGCAGATTAGTTACCTGGAAAATGCTTTCTGTCTTTTTATGTGACATGAAGGTTTGTAAATAAGGTGATCATACAATACAAACTGGAGTGTGATACAGCTGAGAAAACTCAAACCCATCTGCTGTGGTTCTCTGTAGCTCAACTGGTAGAGCACGGCGCTTGTAACGCCAGGGTAGTGGGTTCGATCCTGGGGACCACCCATACACAAAAAATGTATGCACGCATGACTGTAAGTTGCTTTGGATAAAAGCGTCTGCTAAATGGCATATTATTATTCCCCTCTTAGGCCAATGTGGAAACTCCTGAAAGCCTCCTGCCCCCTACCTGTGAAAAACTGAAACTACGCAGGGCTACTTTGGGTGCTTTTGACTCAGTTCTTTTTGCCAAAATAGATGCATGCTTGAGCCAGAGGGATCCCTCCCTCCCTACCATAGAAATAAAATCATGATTATACTTCTATGCACCCTACCAACTATTTGTTTGGCCAGGACATGAACCTTTAACCTCATGCATTCAGTGATTGATTTATCGACAGCTATGATCTACGTATCTGCTTATTTATTGATGTATTTATGCTATAACAATATGAGGTTGTCCTAATGTATTATTAATTTGTTTTAAGTGTCATGTGTTGTGTCTGTTTTACTGTTGTCGTGGTGACCTCTGTAACTCTGTGTTGGCTTGGCTGTCGCAGTTCAGTCTATCACTGTAATTGTCTGTCTGCCCCTGACTGATGCCTGTTCTAACGTGTGCTTACATATGCATCTAATAGTCTTGGTTCATGACTATGATGGTAGAGTCTCTTGTATGATGGCTGGATCTAAATAATGATGGGAAATGACCATCTGCGTAATGCAATGTGGATGGTGTTGGTCATTGGTGTTGTGACTTGTCTGTTGAAGTGTGTATCTATCCGTGTGTCTAAATCCTTCAAGGAAAACAGAAATGTGAACTAAGTATTATTATGGAGTGAGGGAATGTGTCTGTAAAACAAATGTAAGGGGAGATACAGGAGTTAAGCTAAAACGCCAAACTCATCACAGGACAAAGCCACCACTCTTCTAATGTGAAACAACTATAATTTTTCTTCAAAGAATGACTAATTTGTGTTGACTTTGTCAGTTCCTCCTCAGTGTGCAATATGGCAAATAGACACAGGGCATTCAGAAAGTATTCAGACTCCTTCCCTTTTTCCACATTTTGTTACATTACAGCCTTCTTCTAAAATTGATTATTAAATTTTTTCCTCATCAATCTACACACAATACCCCATAATGACAAATCGAAAACAGGTTTTTAGAAATGTTTGCTAATTTATTAAAAATAAAAAACCTAAACACCTTATTTACATGAGTATTCAGACCCTTTGCTATGAGACTCTAAATTGAGCTCAGGTGCATCCTATTTCCATTGATCATCCTTGAGATGTTTCTACAACTTGATTGGAAATCCACCTGTGGTAAATTAAATTGATTGGACATGATTTGGAAAGGCACACACCTGTCTATATAAGGTCCCACAGTTGACAGTGCATGTCAGAGCAGAAACCAAGCCATGAGGTTGAAGGAATTGTCCATAGAGCTCAGAGACAGTATTTTGTCGAGGCACAGATCTGGGGAAGGTTACCAAAAAATGTCTGCAGCATTGAAGGCCCCCGAGAACACAGTGGAATCCATCATTCTTAAATGGATTAAGTTTGGAACCACCAAGACTCTTCCTAGAGCTGGCTGCCCGGCCAAACTGAGAAATCGGGGGAGAAGGGCCTTGGTCAGGGAGGTGACCAAGAACCCGATGGTCACTCTGACAGAGCACCAGAGTTCCTCTGTGGAGATGGGAGAACCTTCCAGAAGGACAACCATCTCTCAGCACTCCACCAATCAGGCCTTTATGGTAGAGTGGCCAGACGGAAGCCAATCCTCAGTAAAAGGCACATGACAGCCCACTTGAAGTTTGCCAAAAGGCATCGAAAGAATCTCAGACCATGAGAAACAAGATTCTCTGGTCTGATGAAACCAAGATTGAACTCTTTGGCCTGTGTATGCCAAGTGTCACGTCTGGAGGAAACCTGGCACCATCCCTACGGTGAAGCATGGTGGTGGCAGCATCATGCTGTGGGGATTTCTTTCAGCGGCAGGGACTGGGAGACTAGTCAGGATCGAGGGAAAGATGAACAGAGCAAAGTACAGAGAGATCCTTCATGAAAACCTGCTCCAGAGCACTCAGGACCTCAGACTGGGGCGAAGGTTCACCTTCCAACAGGACAACGACCCTAAGCACACAGCCAAGACAACGTAGGCGTGGCTTCGGGACAAGTCTCTGAATGTCCTTGAGTGGCTCAGCCGGAGCCCGGACTTGAACCCAATCTAACATCTCTGGAGAAACCTGAAAATAGCTGTGCAGCGACACTCCCCATCCAACCTGACAGAGCCTGAGAGGATCTGCAGAAAATAATGGGAGAAACTCCCCAAATACAGGTGTGCCAAGCTTGTAGTGTCATACCCAAGAAGACTAGAGGCTGTAATCCAGGCTCTGTCGTAGCCGGCCGCGACCGGGAGACCCATGGGGCGGCGCACAATTGGTCCAGCGTCGTCCAGGGTAGGGGAGGGATTGGCCGGCAGGGATGTAGCTCAGTTGGTAGAGCATGGCGTTTGCAATGCCAGGGTTGTGGGTTCGATTCCCATGGGGGTCCAGTATGAAAAATAAAAAAATAATGTGTGCACTAACTGTAAGTCGCTCTGGATAAGAGCGTCTGCTAAATGACTAAAATGTAAATGTAATGTAATTGCTGCCAAAGGTGCTTCAACAAAGGACTGAGTAAAGGGTCTGAATACTTATGTAAATGTCATATTTCCGTTTTTTATTTGTAATAGATTTGCAAACATTTATAAAACCTGTTTTTGCTTTGTCATTATAGGGTATTGTGTGTAGATTAATGAAGAAAAAAACAATGTAATCAATTTTAGAATAAGGCTGTAATGTAACAAAATGTGGAAAGGTGAAGTGGTCTGACTACTTTCCGAATGACTGTAGATAGATATTGATTATATTGCAATTATTTTTGCCTCAGGTTTCAAAGGGGTAAATGATGATGAATGATAATCAGCGCGCAAAACAATCTGAATATAAAATGTAAGGAAGAGGTGCACCTCATTCAAAACTATATCTCTGACTGGGACAGATAGAAAGATAGGAGAGAGCTTAAGCTTTCATGTTCTGTTGTACATTGCAAATGCTATCAATAAAATGTTTAGAGAAAATGTTGAGTGTGCGTGTACATTGAAAGAGGGATCTCTGGATTAAAAAAATATAAAGTCAGTCAATGATCATGAATATTCATAAATACGTCTCTCAGTAAATAACTGTTGTGAATTAATTATACCAAAGAAAATCTTCCAGCGTTCTAGAAAGGAGGTGTGGCTATTGAGCCCGGGTAGTGTATGCATGCGTAGCTAAAGAAGCATTTCAGTTCATCGTCATCTTAGAAGAGCCCGCTGTCAGGAATCAAAATGAACGGGATTGACGAGGAACAAATGGGGCCACAGACCTTTCTCTATGGTGAGATACCCTCACTTTGTTTTGTTAACTGGCATAATTTGGTGTTTTCGGTATAATTTAAATTCCATATCAGCTAACGGTAGTTAGAAAGAAAAAGGGCTGTTCATCAGACACCAACATCGCACGAGGTAGGTAGCTACACAGCCAGCACAATTGGCTAGCTACAGTAACTAGTTAGCTACAATTAATTGGGGGATGTGAGTTTCGTGAACTTATGGTCCAGTAACGTTAACATTACTATTTCTGAATATAATGTCATTGTTACAATGTTTGGGAATGGGAATAATTGACCCAGTTGTCAGCTTGGTAGTTAGCCACGAGACATGAACTCCGGCACCGAACGTTAGCCGGTATTAGTTAGCTAGCAAACCATCTTGAGACCTTAGGTAGAAAGCAAGCTTAGCTACATTGGGTAAAATATGGGTAATGCTTTTATGCATATTGGTGCCCTGGTTGATTTAATTTGTTGTGGTAGCTGGGTCAGACTGATGGTAAATTCACATTGTTTGACAAAGTTGACATTACAGGGAAGGCTAGCTGGCCCTCCATGCGTTTAACATTTCTGAACACGTGCTTTGAAGATGGCGCACGAGGCGGTCTAGAAATGTGTTCATGCAACGCAGCAAGATTTTGTTAACGTTGCCTCCTAAATTGCTAGTTTTGGCTAAAACGGTTTAACTAGTTACCTGTAATAATTTATCCACTTTCATTAAGTTACATTTGATTAATGCATGACATGCTTTGTTAGGGAGTTGGCGTTAACAGCCAGATTGAAATGGTGATTGGACAATAAACATAATATGTGATGAACTCCAAATTGTACATGCGATGTCTTTTGTAAATTGTTGTGTAAAGTTAGTTCGACTCATATTAAATATTTTAATAGCAACATGTCTAACAGCTAGTTGCATTGAACACGTTCCCTTTGTCAGGGCTCACATGTTGGCCTAGCCTCAGTCAGACCTAACTGGGAGAAGTCCAGGGAAGGGCTACCTTGTCCACAAGTTACCGGTTTAGGTGCACGATTTTCCTCCAGCCAAAGCACAAACACAACTGATTCAACATAGCATAGTCTTAAGTTGAGTCTTTATTAGTTGTATCTGAAGTCTTACCAATTTATTACAGGGTAATAAATTGCCCACCCCAACATTGGACCCCTTTCCCTGAGTTGATGGCAATGTAGTATTTTCTCATATGTAATTGACCCTTTATTTCAACAGGGTGCGCGTTGAAATCTGGGAAGGATATTGTCTTCAACCCAGAAGAGGATGACTTTGAGCACCAGCTGGACTTAAGGATGGTGAGGGTTACTGGTGCATCTTTTCTATAGAATTTTAATTGATGGCAAGATATCTGTTTAACCATTTCTCATTATAGGTATGATGAAATATTTCTGAACTTGGTGTCTCCTGTTGATTGCTCTTAGGTGTGTGTGGACCCCAGCACCAAGGATGAGCTGCATGTTGTGGAGGTGGAAGGACAGGACGCAGAGGGTGAGAAGGTGAAGGTTGTGCTAGCTGCACTCAAACCCTCCACCTTGCCAAGTGTGAGTAGTCAAACATAAGTGTCATCAATACTTCTGTTCTGTTCCTGAATGGGAGATGGTGGTTGTATGGCCTGTGTAGAGTTCATGCTGATTTAAGGAGTTAATTGTGTGTTGCAGGTGTGTCTTAGTGGGTTCGCAATCACATCCCCAGCAGTTTTCCGTCTCAAGGCTGGTTCCGGTCCAATCCACATCAGTGGCCAGCACCTTGTCAGTGAGTATGGCTTATCTCAGGACAATGTTACTCCCATGGTATCTTTAGTGCTGCCATGGCCTCTGTAGTCAGATATGATACTGGTTGAGATTATCTACTGATGCGTTTTCAACACTGAGACTGAAAATGTCAATTTCTGGGAGAATTATTTGATCGATTTAATCCTTTTTAAATTGTCGTGTCCTATCCACTCAAAGTTAACGCATTGTTTTTCCACCAGTGATGGGAGGAGACCAAACTTTGGACGATGAAGAGGAAGAAGAGGTACAAACGTCCAAGAAAAGGCCTGCATCTGTACCAGCACTTAAATCTCAGGTTAGTCCCGAATACTGGCCTTTAAGCCGAAACGCCAGCTGGAAAATACCCTGCGTTACGGAATGTACATGTCTGGTGCCCTAATATCGCATGGCCTCTAGTCGAAGATGATTTGTTGAGCTGATTTACTGACCCATATTCACCACTGCTTACCAAAAGACTGAAGACGGCCGTTCACATTTCTTAGAGAATGTTATCCGCTCTTGCTTCACACATCCTCACCTCATGACACTTACCATGTCCTTCCCTTTCTACCCTTCACAGAAGAAGATGAAGATGGATGATGATGAAGATGAGGAGTAAGTGTAGTGTTTGACTGACTAACCAGTGTTCCCTGCTGAGGTTTTTATAAAGAGTTGATTTGTAACACGTCTCCTCTTTAGGGATGATGAAGAGGAGAGTGAGGCTGAAGAAACTCCTGTTAAGGTTAGTGCCTTTATTTGCACAACTGTAATTTAGTTTATTTAAGCCTATTCTCATTCTACCTTTGAAAATGACACTAGAAACCTCTGTTTTACTCAGGTTAAGCAGACTCCGTCCAAACCTCGGACTCCTGCCCAGAATGGAAAGGGCCCTAAAGCCAACACACCAGCTGGAAAACAGGTAGTCCTCTTTACGCATCTTCTGCCCTACCATTACATGGTTTCTAGTCGAAGATGATATTTGTTGAGCTGATGGTTAACTGAAGCATTTTCAACACTGCTTACCAAAAGACTGAGACTGAAGATGACCACTCCCATATCTGAGAGTATTATTGTAGTGATGTAACATGACTAACATACATGTCTTGTCTAACAATTTCTCTGATTTTCAGTCAAAGACGCCTGACAAGGGCAAGGGTGACAAAAATGGCCAGACCCCCAAAGCAACCCCTAAAACACCTCTGACCCCCAAACCAGTCCTCACCGTCCCTGAGCTGAAGGCCAAGATGAAGGTGACTGTGGAGAAGGTTGGTGTCTGATGTGTTCTGTGTATGATATTATCTGGAAATACACTGGCCTTACACTGAGATTGGATGAGCTGATCTAGCTGATGTACGTTAAAATACTGTTAACCAAAAGACAGAACGAACACAATGCTAAAGGGACACATCTAAATACCTATAGTAATGTCATATATTGTTATTTCAGGGAGTGAACCTGCCTAAACTCCAGCCCAAGTTCGAGAGCTTTGTGAAGAACAGCTTCAGAGTCACAGACACCAAGGTATGGAAATGCTCCTCAGGAACTTTGTGAAATTTGACTTGTCTGTCAGGAACGCAATGTGGTTCAATTGTATGTTTGGGAAATGACAACCATAGTGCTGTCAGGGAAAACATCCCTGAAGCGCAATGAAGACAATTCTGATTTTGATCAGCAGTGAGAAACACACACTAATACCTTTAAGAAGTTCTGAGCTCTCACCAATGACATGTTTTGTGACCAGTACAATGACAATTACGATTTATACTTTGGTAAATGTGTTTTCCCCGTCTTTTTTCAGATCATAGAAGAACTGTGGAAGTGGAGACAGACTGTGGAAGACAAAAAATAACTATTTTTGGTTGAACCTTTTTTTAGTTTTCTTATTTTGCAACCACCACACCCCTTCCACACACACACATTTGGCCTGCTCTGCCCTCTCCTGGCCCTTCCCATGTCTGAATCAAACTGCCACAGCATTTAGCCCGTCCAGTCCCCAGTGCCCTGCTGTGGCACACCGACTAGTATGGATCTAATAAGACTGAGCCCCATGGCACTACCGGCACCATGACCCTCTCAGAGGACGGGGGGGGTGATACTATTCCAGCTTTCATGTGGAAGGACCTGGGAAAACCCACTTGGAACTTAGCATTTGTAAATGTGTAAAATAAATCCTTGCTACTGTGTTAATGTCTGGTCAGTTGGTGTTGAAAAGTACTGTCCCTCTGGCAGTGTGGAAGGTATCTGTTCATGTATGTTCTTTTTGAGTTATGTTTGTAAATGGGTCTAGTGAATTGATGGCCGTTCACGTCATCCATAAGCTGTTGGGTGTATGGACGTTCCTGTCCTTCCCTTCCAGAGGGTAGGTTCCACAGGGTCTGAGACATTAACATTGGGCCAATCATTGTCTTAATTTAACTGTTCAAAGGTTTTAAGTCATGCTCACGGTTTTATTATGATTTGCAATAAGGGTAGAGTGAAGCAGCTAATGCACCGGTGTCCTGAATGTCATCTGAAAGTTAATAAATAATTATCTTGTATCATACCTGCTTTGTGACCATGTAATTTCTGTAATGTTGAATTGCTATACAAAGTAAATGAAGAGCTCTAGCCACTGCAATATTGTGATCAGCAATGAAAATGTTGGGAATACTTATGTATTTTATTGATGACTACATAGTACAATTTCATTGTGACTGCTAATAATATCCTCTACGTGAACCTCTGAAGAACTGTCAAAAAATAAACATGCGGTTTAATGACGTGGGTGGTGTTCCAATTTAATCCCATAATACAGATTTGGAAGTCTGAATTACAAAGTGGATAAACTATTGGCCTACTCTGATAATACTCATTCAAACATGGAAAGGAGCATAGATGTCTGACCTCAAGCTCAACAAGACAGTGCTGCTTTTCCTTGGGAAGGCATGCCCATTTTTGACAACTGATGCAGAGATCATTACTGCTGCAATCTTGCTGATTCACCTACAGTGAGAGAAAAAAGTATTTGATCCCCTGCTGATTTTGTATGTTTGCCCACTGACAAAGAAATGATCAGTCTGTAATTTTAATGGTAGGTTTATTTGAACAGAGAAAAAATCCTGAAAAACGCACGTCAAAAATGTTATAAATTGATTTGCATTTTAATGAGGAAAATAAGTATTTGACCCCCTCTCAATCAGAAAGATTTCTGGCTCCCAGGTGTCTTTTATACAGGTAATGAGCTGAGATTAGGAGCACACTCTTAAAGGGAGTGCTCCTAATTTCATTTTTTTACCTGTATAAAAGACACCTGTCCACAGAAGCAATCAATCAGATTCCAAACTCTCCAACATGGCCAAGACCAAAGAGCTCTCCAAGGATGTCAGGGAAGATTGTAGACCTACACAAGGCTGGAATGGGCTACAAAACCATCGCCAAGCAGCTTGGTGAGAAGGTGACAACAGTTGGTGGGATTATTCGCAAATGGAAGAAAAACAAAAGACCTGTCAATCTCCCTCGGCCTAGAGCTCCATGCAAGATCTCACCTCGTGGAGTTGCAATGATCATGAGAACGGTGAGGATTCAGCCCAGACCTGCACGGGATGATCTTGTCAATGATCTCAAGGCAGCTGGGACCATAGTCACCAAGAAAACAATTGGTAACACACTTCGCCGTGAAGGACTGAAATCCTGCAGCGCCCGCAAGGTCCCCCTGCTCAAGAAAGCACATATACATGGCCCTCTGAAGTTTGCCAATGAACATCTGAATGATTCAGAGGAGAACTGGGTGAAAGTGTTGTGGTCAGATGAGACCAAAATGGAGCTCTTTGGCATCAACTCAACTCGCCGTGTTTGGAGGAGGAGGAATGCTGCCTATGACCCCAAGAACACCATCCCCACCGTCAAACATGGGGGTGGAAACATTATGCTTTGGAGGTGTTTTTCTGCTAAGGGGACAGGACAACTTCACCGCATCAAAGGGATGATGGACGGGGCCATGTACCGTCAAATCTTAGGTGAGAATCTCCTTCCCTCATCCAGGGAATTGAAAATGGGTCGTGGATGGGTATTCCAGCATGACAATGACCCAAAACACACGGCCAAGGCAACAAAGGAGTGGCTCAAGAAGAAGCACATCAAGGTCCTGGAGTGGCCTAGCCAGTCTCCAGACCTTAATCCCATAGAAAATCTGTGGAGGGAGCTGAAGGTTTGAGTTGCCAAACGTCAGGCTCGAAACCTTAATGACTTGGAGAAGATCTGCAAAGAGGAGTGGGACAAAATCCCTCCTGAGATGTGTGCAAACCTGGTGGCCAACTACAAGAAACGTCTGACCTCTGTGATTGCCAACAAGGGTTTTTCCACCAAGTACTAAATCATGTTTTGCAGAGGGGTCAAATACTTATTTCCCTCATTAAAATGCAAATCAATTTATAACATTTTTGACATGCATTTTTCTGGATTTTTTTGTTGTTATTCTGTCTCTCACTGTTCAAATATACCTACCATTAAAATTATAGACTGATCATTTCTTTGTCAGTGGGCAAATGTGCAAAATCAGCAGGGGATCAAATACTTTTTTTCCCTCACTGTAGGTTGGAGTCATTAAAACTCGTTTTTCAATCACTCCACAAATTTCTTATTAACTATAGTTTTGGCAAGTTGGTTAGGACATCTACTTTGTGCATGACACAAGTAATTTTTCCAACAATTGTTTACAGAAAGATTATTTCTCTTATAATTCACTGTATCACAATTCCAGTGGGTCAGAAGTTTACATACACTAAGTTGACTGTGCCTTCAAACAGCTTGGAAAATTCCAGAAAATGATGTAATGGCTTTAGAAGCTTCTGATAGGCTAATTTACATAATTTGAGTCAATTGGAGGTGTACCTGTGGATGTATTTCAAGGCCTACCTTCAAACTCAGTGCCTCTGCTTGACATCACGGGAAATTCAAAAGAAATCAGCCAAGACCTCAGAAAAAAATGTGTAGGCTTCCATCCTTGGGAGCAATTTCCAAACGCCTGAAGGTACCACGTTCATCTGTACAAACAATAGTACGCAAGTATAAACACTATGGGACCATACAGCTCAGGAAGGAGACGCGTTCTGTCTCCTAGACATGAACGTACTTTGGTGCGAAAAGTGCAAATCAATCCCAGAACAACAGCAAAGGACCTTGTGAAGATGCTGGAGGAAACAGGTACAAAAGTATCTATATCCACAGTAAAACGAGTCCTATATCAACATAACCTGAAAGGCCGTTCAGCAAGGAAGAAGCCACTGCTCAAAACCGCCATAAAAAAAACAGACTATGGTTTGCAACTGCGCATGGGGACAAAGATCGTACTTTTTGGAGAAATGTCCTCTGGTCTGATGAAACAAAAATTGAACTGTTTGGCCATAATGACCATCGTTGTGTTTGGAGGAAAAAGGGGTACGCTTGCAAGCCGAAGAACACAATCCCAACCGTGAAGCACGGGGGTGGCAAATATTAATTGAGTGTATGTAAACTTCTGACCCACTGGGAATGTGATGAAATAAATAAAAGCTGAAATAAATAATTATCTCTACTATTATTCCGACGTTTCACATTCTTAAAATAAAGTTGTGATCCTATCTGACCTAAGACAGGGAATATTTACTAGGATTAAATGTCGGGAATTGTGAAAAACTGAGTTTAAATGTATTTGGCTAAGGTGTATGTAAACTTCCGACTTCAACTGTACGTCTCAGGCTCTGCACTCTTTGTTGGCATTACACCTGGCTCCTACCAGGTGACATGGAAAGGTCCTCACCATAGACACGGGAAGTAGGGGTGCTGCAGCACCCCCTGATAAATCCCACCCCCCTCCCCCAAAATACACTTTGTGAACTAGGCCTTTTATTATCCTGTATGAGCAGAGAAAAATACTCCTCAGCACCCCCACCCCAAAACATATTCCGCGGCCATGGTCCTCACCTTACCTTATTACTACTGGTGTCCACTAGGGGGGCTCTGTACTAGGTCTCATTTGTTTTTCTCCATACACAAAATCACTTGGTCTGTCACATCCTCATATGTGGTATGGCAACTGCTTGGCCTCCGACCGCAAGGCACTACAGAGGGTAGTGCGTACGGCCCAGTACATCACTGGGGCCAAGCTTCCTGCCATCCAGGACCTCTATACCAGACGGTGTCAGAGGAAGGCCCTCAAAATTGTCAAAGACTCCAGCCACCCTAGTCATAGACTGTTCTCTCTGCTACCGCACGGCAAGCGGTACTGGAGTGCCAAGTCTAGGTCCAAAAGACTTCTCAACAGCTTCTACCCCCAAGCCATAAGACTCCTGAACATCTAATCATGGCTACCCGGACTATTTGCACTGCCCCCCCACCCCATCTTTTTACGCTGCTGCTACTCTGTTAATTATTTATGCATAGTCACTTTAAATCTACCCACATGTACATATTATTTCAACTACCTCAACTAGCCGGTGCCCCTGCACATTGACTCTGCACCGGTACCCCCCTGTATATATAGCCTCCCTACTGTTATTTTATTTTACTTCTGCTCTTTTTTTCTCAACACATTTTTTTTGTTGTTTTATTTTACTTTTTAATTAAAAATAAATGCACTGTTGGTTAAGGGCTGTAAGTAAGCATTTCACTGTAATGTCTGCACCTGTTGTATTCGGCGCATGTGGCCAATAACATTTGATTTGATTTGATTTGATATGGTCTCTCATCAGATGGTTCTCAAGTATTTTCGTCCCACTTCACCTCTGACATTTTGCCTATTATCTCTGTGTCTGGCAGACATCTCTGATACTAGACAGCGCTGCTATTCCTTCCTTGAAGGCCTGCCAGCTCCAGGACCTCTCCATCACCGATGACAACTCCATTGTGTCCAAGTCCTTGACTGCGGTGGGACGACACCCTGTACTAGACAAAGTCAGTATGTTTGTAGGTTTGGGATGTCACGGCGTCTCATTCCCCTACGAGTCAGTATAGACTCTGGCCAACAAAGGGGGCTAGTGTACAAGTCAGCCCTTTGCCCGGCAGCCTTGGTTGTGTTGCATCCATGAGGGGTGATCACATCTCATCCTCCCCCCAGACCTGGATACTTCCTGTATCAGTTAACCTGAACAGAGAGGCTTTATTAATGGCTGCTCTCCCTAATGGCATCAGACTGTCAGGAAGAGGGTTAGTCCTGTTGCAACATCACGTCTGCGCAGCTCTACTGTGTGTGGCTATGAATAGTCCTACCATACAAAGAGCTATTGGTGATTCTGTAGCTTTAAATGGGGATGCTGAGATATATATTCTGATTTAGTTTTGGACCACATTCATAATGGACACAACACACAGACCTATCCATCTCCCCCAGGTCAGCTGAATGTGAGTCTGCAGCACTCAGGGAGAGGGGCTTTAATGGGGAGAGCCTTTTTATGGTCTCTGTGGATCTCCTCACCACCTGTAAGTGCCTTAGATTTGTCGTATAGGCTAAATCTGCCCTGGTCAATGTGTTTTTGTCCGAGATAGCGTTAGTGATATGGATATTTATGGTGCAGTTCAGTTTTCATGGTATTTGTGTGTAATGAGCATGTTGTGCAGATATTCCATTGTATATGTAAACAATACAGTAGCTATGGAGACCAATAGAAGGGCACAGGAAAATAAAGAGAGTGATTCAAAGCAAAAACAAGATAATCATTTTTTGTTATTAGGTTTTGTTTAGTTATTTACATATTTATCAAATACAAAGTATAATACATAGGGAGGCATCCTGTCCATCTATTACACTACATCAAACATTCTCAGATGTCTCATAGGACAAGTCTCAGGTCTAGTATGCCACCCTCATGCACGTCTCTTCCCAGTGAATGGGTCCAGCCTGACATGAATAAAACAGCTTCTTGCTCGACTGGCAAATATTATTATTCTAAAATAGCCCTTGAGCTGTGTATTAACACTTCAATTAATTATATATAAAAAATGATATGTATTGCTAGTGTTCTGGGTGGATCCTGTTTAAAGAGGTAGCAGTTATCTGGTTTTGGATGTCCAGACAAAACTAAACACTATCCCAATAGAACAGTAAGCAGTCGATCCTACAATATTTCACTTGTAGATATCTGGTTTTATAGTTTCCCTTCTTATTCAAATGTAACCACTGCATGCCCCCTAATTGAGCTTTAGAGTGATAGTAGATTGGAATCGAAGCCTGTACGTGTACGTACATTCAGTGGCTTTCTAGGATCAGTGTTGCCAATGTCCGTCAATACAAAAATCCTTCTTACTAGCAGTCCGGAGAGGAAATTAGATTTAATTCAAGATGGAAAAGGAGAGGATGATGAGATTCATTCCATGCAACAACAAAGGTTTATATATTCTCAAAATAGTATATTCTCTTTCTCTCTCCATTTCCCATCAATTTTCTCACCCTTTGCAGACTGGTCAGCTTTAAGATGCAAGGGCACAGAGCTGGTAGTGTAACTAGTGGTGAATGAACAGATGGGACGTGGGAGGAAGAAATTAGCCAATCTGTGCTGCGTCAGTCAGTCAATATGTCTGTTTGGAATGATGGGGCTGGCTCAGTGATGTGTGTCACGTACATCGCCACAGGTCATAAGCTACCACCCAGGAATTATCTGACACAAGGACCCATACAGCGTACATTCTGCATGGCCAGATCATATCAGGGTAGGAAACTACTGAGTTTTTGTTTCATCTTCAGACTCCCTCAGACACACTTTGGCTATGTTCTGGAAGGACAATAATAAATCACTCAATTCACTTTGCTCACGGGTCGGTCACCTTGGTGCAGTTTCTTAGATATCAGTCAGTAAGCTTTTTGACCAGTCAGAGTGTGTAATGTCCAGAGGGCCCCAACCTGTCACACTAGAGCGGTGACACTGCCCATCTTTGCTGCTTCCTCAGAGGCCCACGGCTGCAGGTTCTGCAGTGCGAACAGGGAGGAGTTGTGGATGCAAAGTGGATCGGACAGAACCGAATCGCTCAGAGACTTCTGGAAGGCATCGTGCTGCAGCTGGATCATCAGCCGATTGGCCTGCTGACGCTCCGCTTCCCTCTCCTCAGCCGTCTGTCGCCTGGCAACGAAGACAGGGCAGGTAAGGAGAGGACAGGGACAGGACAGACGCAGACAGGACACTTATTAAGATTCACTGTTAGAGGACTTGGCCATACAGAGAGAAAATGTGATGCACCCAGAGACATCGAGGCCAACATCAGAACAGGGACACATGGTTGGTGCAGTACAGCAGGAGAGACACCACACTGGCATGAGCCATAATGACACATGGGAGAAACCAGAGAGGACACTAACCAATGTTGCCAAACAAAACCTGATTGCACATGATTGCACTCAAGATGGAGCAACTCTTGAAGATAACATTTGTAACAGAACTTTTCTGTGAATATTTTATATTTTGTAGAAAGCACTATCAAAATAGTAACAGATTGGTGTTATCCTTATTTTTAGGTAAATTTGCAAACATATAAAATTGGTAGGCCTAATTTATTATTTGTTGTTTGACCTTTGACACGTTCCAACAGCAACCTCATGTCGGGGAAGTAGCTGGTATTATCACATTAATAATTTCTGAAAATCGAAGAACGGTCGGTACAATTAATCTAGCGCCAAATTGTTTCATAATAGGCCTACAACGTTGCATTTATTCACATTTGTAAATCTGCGCTGAGCCTGACATCTTTTATTAACAGTGTTTAGGCCTAAGCTACTGTGAGCACAACAGCGTGCCTTTTTTCGCAGCTGATGACTGCCAAAAATAAATGCTAGGTTAGGATATGTTAAACTATGTTTTATAATGATATTACCATAAAATAGGCTAGTTACACTTGTTGGCTGTATAACCTATGGTTTTCTTTGTCGAATAGAAATAATAATGCAGATATGTGTGCTGACATAGCATACGTAGATGAATCCTAGCCCAACATAAGATAGGCTATAGGCTAATTTATTTTTGTCATGAGTCAATTGGTAGTCCTACTACAGTACATCTTACTCAACAAATCACACAGATGACACTAGAGCCATAACAATACTTGGCAATACTCATAAACCTAGCCCTATCAAACTAACTCTCTTAACATTGATTATTGTATTCTATTTTATTGCATTTGTTCCAAAAATGCTCTTTCCCCGATATAACATCACATTTTATTGTGTTGCCTACATTACATGTTATTGTGTAGCCTGCGCTGTAGTGTGGTTGTGCAAGTGATCCAGTTCATATTTGATAAGCTATTAAAATCTGAATGTTTTATCGCCAACACTGTCAAGACATATTTTCCAAATGCCACAAACTCTTTGATCCAAACACTTAGTACAATGTTAATTACACTCTATGGAGCTGAATGAAAGGTATTAGGAAAAGTACAATCCATGGACTGTCCCCAGACTTCTGTTCTGGCTGTAGAAGGTTATGGTGGGTAAAGACAGGTTGGGTTGGGGAGGCTTAGCTGTCAGTAACATAAAGGGGGTGAATATGCCTGTTAGGTTGAGTGTACATGAGTTATTGGGTGCGCATTAGCATTGATAAACTAGGTTATCTAGGGCCTTAGCACACCTCTATAACATGTATTAGAACTCTAAGTTACTGGTGATATTGCAGTTTTATTCAAGCTATAATTCTCAAAATTGGAAACTGACATTAGAAAGTGGTAATTGATGATGTGCTGTTGTGTTGGCCACTGATAGAGAGTGAACCCATACTAGATCCTCCTCTTTCTCCAGAGAAACCACATGGAAAACAAATCATCCTAATCTCTCTCCCTCCCCTTCTCCAGCCCAGTGTCTCACCTCCACTTGGTCCTGCGGTTCTGAAACCAGGTCTTGACCTGTGCGTCGGTCATCTTGAGGGTCTTGGCGAGAGCAGCCCGCTCAGCGCTGGCTAGGTACTTCTGTCTGTGGAAGCGTTTCTCCAGCTCACAGATCTGCACGCGGGAGAAGGATGTCCGCGGCTTCTTCCTCTTCGGAGGGGTGCGGTTCTGGTAGGGGTGACCGATTCGCCTGGCCACTGTGAATGGCGTCAGTGCAGCTATGTGTGTGTCGGTTTGCGTGTGTGTGTGTGTGTGTGTGTGTGTGTGTGTGTGTGTGTGTGTGTGTGTGTGTGTGTGTGTGTGTGTGTGTGTGTGTGTGTGAGGAAGGGACATTGGACAAACAAAGAGAGCAAGTCATGCACAGGTTGACAGGATCTTGTGTTGTGTTCAATTTGTTGAAGAACATTGTATTGTAAATGTAATCTAAAATCTAAATAAATTCACACGCTCATTGGTTTGACCTACTAATATTTCCCCCTCTTCTCTCTCATAGAGCTGGAATGTTTGAGTGTTTTACGGGTCTTTAGAGGCCTATTTTTGCCTTTGAATAATGCTATTCTAATTCTAATCAACACTAAATCCATGTTCACCATATTCTTAAGTATTATCTATTTTCAAACAAAATGATCAATTCAGTCTAAGTCCATGTTTAGTTAAATACAAGTAAAAATCCAGATATTTTATTATATTTCAACTTATACAATGGGTTTTTATAGTGGTTTATAGTAGCAGAAAGATTGCTGTAATAGTGATGTAATATTCTGAATATTTATAGGCCTATACATTGACAGTTAATTATGCTGAGGATGTTGATGAAAAGAGGTGTGTTTTCCCCATTCATTTCTGATGTGGAGAGCTTCTTGCTTTCGTCACAAAAGGCTGACACACAATCATATATAACCCTCCTGCAATATTAATGACACTTTACATCTGCATAGTTCCTCCCAGAAGAAAAACAAAAGTCCTGATAAATATTACAGGCCATCCACTGGGACACAGAATGGGAAACATTTACGTTTCAGATGAAGAGGTTCTCCTATTTTACTTTTTACTTTTTGGAGTGTCCCGATTATTTCATTACAACGTTACTATATAATAACGGATAAGGCAAACAGTAGGCTACCATATTGCCCAATTATCTATTTAAAGTTAATTTCTGTTGAAAAGAATACGTAGCTTGTAACGTAATAAGAATAATCTACTCTCAGTTACATTAGATGTTCCATGTAAACATTTAGTTTAAATAAATAGAAACATAAATCCAAAAAGCAAACAGATTAATTGATTAATAAATGCACATTGTGTTAGGCTATACCCCAATATATAATCATAATAATAATAATACACTTATAATTGTAATATTTCCCGTTTAGCAAGACACGCACACACACATACACGGGGACTGTGAAGAGACACACACACGGGCACAGACACACACATACATATGTACATGCTAACACACGCACTCTACACACACGTACACATGGATTTGTATTGTAGATATGTGGTAGTAGAGTAGTGGCCTGAGGGCACACACTTAATGTGTTGTGAAAAGTGTTATGAAATGTAATGTCATGTAATATTTTTAATTGTATATAACTGCCTTAATGTTGCTTGACCCCAGGAAGAGTAAGGCAGCAGCTAATGAGAATCCTTAATAAATACACACACGCACACACACACACACACACACACACACACACACACACACACACACACAACACACACAAAACAGTTCCTTCAGTAGTAGCCAAATAGAATTGGGTTTTGGTGTAGCTAATAGACTATATGAAGATGTCTGAAACACTTGTGCAATGTATCGTAGCAATTTCGATAAGAGCGCATCCCTCCTATCGATTTAATCAATCGAAATATTATTCAAAATGTGGATAAAATGTTTTTATTTTCATTGACGGTTCTAAATGGTTAAAAAGCGAAATAATTATTGTTCAGTGCGAGTCTACAGTTTGTGTTTATTTATTAGAATTACACTGGTTGCAATTTGATATTTGTGATCAGTTGATATTTGCTTGTTACATTTTGTGGTAAAACCTGTAAGAAAGTTGTGTCTTATGATACATTAATTGGCATAGTTTTAATAATAATAATAATAATAATAATAATAATATGCCATTTAGCAGATGCTTTTATCCAAAGCGACTTACAGTCATGCGTGCATACATTTTTACGTATGGGTGGTCCCGGGGATCGAACCCACTACCCTGGCGTTACAAGCGCCATGCTCTACCAATTGGTGAAAACTGCAAAGTATTGTAACTTGTGCCGAATGAATCGCTTTAAGAGAACGGCCCTAATTCGGCCAGTATTTCTATAGGCCTACCCCACATTTAAAAGTGTATTTTAATTTTTTTGTCAGGCTTTATCCTTTGAGTTAAACTTTACTTTGAAATAAGAATATTTAATTATTTAGATCTGTTTTTCATCAAATATTTGTTTTGTATGCTATTGTTGATTTTATTTCTGTCAACATGTAGCCCAGGCCTACACATTTTCCCTCAATATAAAGCTTTCATAATTAGACTAAAATGCAAGTTCATGTGGTTCAACTGATTAGACTAGTCCAGTATACTTTATTTGTGGACCTGGTCAATTCCATTTCAACTCCATGAGTGAAATGAAAATTCATCTTTGAAAAAGAATAGACTAGCATACGAAAACCCTGAATTTACCGATTTAAAATGGAAATTACCACATCCTGGTGAATAGAGTAAAATACACTTTGAATGGAGATAGTTTACCTGCAAATCTTTCCTTTGCAAATCTTTGGCTGTTCTCCATCCAGGGGAAGCTGATGCTGCCTAGCCCCGGTACCGCGCTGGCTAAAGAAGGAGGCACTGCGGCGGCCAGCGGCCTGTGCGCCGGGACGCGTATCACCCCTCCTGGGGTGAAAGTCAAGTTCACTCCGTATGCACTTGATTCCTCGTATGATGATGCAATGCCATGGAAAGAACCGGAAAGCGAAGTGAAGGGCGCTACACTGGCTCCAGTTGGACTACCGAGCTGGTAACCTCCTCCACTTGTGGAGTTGCCAGTATTCGAAACATTCCGGGTCGTGTTCTGTGATCCGTCCTGGTCGGTACCACTGAGAATCTGGTCAATGCCGAAACTAATAGGTTCATGCTGGGCAGGTTGTGGGGGCTGACTTACGCCGCTGGGGCTTATGCTTGGCGCCCGCTCCATTCTCGCTCCAAGAACCTTTCCAGCCCCTTTATGCAGTCCTCGGACAGAGCCGATGATGCAAAAGGAACGATGTGTACGAGTAAAAATTGGTTATGTTGGGTTAAGCATCTAGCTCTTTCCCTTTTAAAGCTCGTTTTGGATAGTTTGCTTGCTATGGCCTTCTATGGCAGCGAGTTTTCCACCATCCTTCGCGGCTCTGAAGGATCCGTCCATCTGAAATTTGATGAAGTTGTGTACGTTGATTTTGGTTTTGCACGTTGATTTTGCTATGCAGGGCAATCGCTGCTTGGGACAATTCTCCTCTGCCCACACCCCGCGCCCGCAATAATGTTTCCTCTTTCCCTCTTCCTATTGGTTGGAGGAGCTTTTCCGCCACATCATTGGTTGAAGTTTTAACTTTATTTTGCTGAATTGAATGCGAGCTAACGGAACATTCCAAAGTGACATAATTTTTTTTAAAAGCACACATTGTGGCGGATTCATTAACATCTTTATTGTCTGTATAGTCGACTAACAATTATGCGTAGTTATAGTGTATCATAAACACCGTTTATAAAACAGGGAATGCTTTCGGAGATTTAATGACACTGCTTTTATTGGCCTAATGATTATGCATTCCTAATTAGCCTATTTCTACATCAGTGGCTTATCCAAATTCTGATTTGTATAATTTGAGTTTCTACTTTAAAAGTATGAAAAATGTATGCACTCACTAACTGTTAGTCGCTCTGGATAAGAGCGTCTGCTAAATGACTAAAATGTAAATGTAAAAAGTCCATAGCCTATTTTGTCTTTTGATAGGCTATGGGTTTATTCTACAACCGTTATCCATTCGCTTTGGATCGAAATAATGTAGGACTATTAATTACAATTAAGTGGAAGCCTACACAAAATGATCATAACAAAATGCTTTCATGGCTAGCAAGCCTGTAAAGGAGGCATCATATTGGCATCGTCCCACACGCCATTGGTGGTGGTGGCATGGTGACGGTGGTCAATTCTGAATGGTCAATGCAAGCTAAATAAGAATGCAGGCTTATGCTTAATTGAGAAACATCGATACAGAGGGAACTGAGGGCTGCAGAATGTCTTATCACCCGCTACTAATAGTGGATTGGACACAACATAGGCTAAATTAACTTCTTTACAGACCTTGTGCATTGGCTTTTCACTGGGGCAGCGGTTATCTTGATTATAATCAGAGTGGAAGTTAAATGGTAGGCCAGGTAGCCTACTAAACAAGTGTTTAATTAAACGAAAATAAACTGACTTCATATTATTTTCAAATAACGTTTCATTCGTTGTCAGATTCATATATCAATAGCGAATTTGAGCTTTGAGCTTGCAAGCCCAATTTGGGCAATGCACTACGCATCGGCTATAGTCGTTGATAGGCTGTTGATGAAGTTTAAATTCCACTCCAACGAAGTGGCTGGTCGTTTCAATGCTAAATACTAGGCTACGCATGAAGGCATATAATAGCCTATAACTTGTATTAGCCCTGATATGTAAAAACTGATGGGCACGTAGACCATGGCTTTGTGCGTAAAAGCCATGGTTTATTTTAGTTCGAAAATAACTAGACTATTAAAAATCACATGCATCGCAACCGTTTATTATGCTTTAGGTTAGGCTATATGCTAGAATTTGGCCTGGTGTTTGGTATATTTGATTAATAGAAAATATAGCCATTTAGCCTAATGTTTCTTTCGTAATGCGAATTAATTTTAAACAAAGCTCAAGTTTGTTTAGTTTTTGAAGATTTCGTGGCTTTACTTCGTGCTGCAGGTCAAGAGTGGCAGTGGGACCTCGTTTATTCACGGGGGGGGGGGGGGGGGGGGGGGGGGGGGGGGGGGGGGGGTAGTTTCCACTCCACGCGCTAACTGAATAGGGAGCACAGGACAGGACACCGGATCTGCTGACATTGGATCTAAGTGGCTCCTTGTAATCTGCCGAGTAAAAGCGATTATGCTCCTTGGGCCTGGCCGAGGCGTTTGATTAGCTTCAGGGGATTGGAGCTGGCCGAGGAAAAATCAGTTTACTTTGAAGTAGTTGATATTTTAAAGACCATTAGTGAATGCTGATGGCGCTTAGTGGTTGACATGGATAACCCTTCATGGCCAGTCCGGAGCCCTCCCTGACCCTTGCTTTATGTGCATATTTTAATAATTTACATGTATTGTTTCCAATGCATATTGCATAACCCCCAATTTTAGTTTAATGTATTACGTATAGCGACTTACAGGAGCAATTAGGGTTTAGTGTCTTGCTCAAGGGCACATCGACAGATATTTCACCTAGTCGTTTCGGGGATTCGAACCAGCGACATTTCGGTTACTGACCCAACGTTAGGCTAACTGCCGCCTAGGCCTATTCCTTCTATGTAGGGCATTGAAAATGCCTGGAATAAATAGGGGGGGGGGGGAAACTGAAGGGCGAGGGAAAAGCATGCCACATTCTGTATACTCGGTCGTTGACCTCAAATCCATCAGTAAAATGTACTATTTGACAATCTGACCGCACACAGCAGAAGGCGCACAGGACGCACAATGTAAACTAAATGAAAAGCTTCTCCGTTAAAAGCCAGAAAATAATATGGTAGAGAACGACAAGAAAAACCAAGTCATCTGAAACCTATGAAAGGGCATTCAACTTTAGAGCGTTATATAACAACGTAGTTAATATTTCATAAGATGAGACAAGAGTGGCGCAGAAAAATAGCGAGAGATGGTGAACTTTCATTAAGCAGGTTATTTCCGCTCTTTTCTCGTCCATTCCATTTATTGCAATCATACTGATATCTCTCTCACTCCAACCCCTCCTCATTCAACCAATTTCCCGCGCTCCGTCTCCCTCGTTCGGTGCTTTTTAAAACGTAGTAATAAAAACATACTAGATCCTTTCTAAATGCACTATTACTTATCATAGCCTTTTCATATTGTACCATCACAGGCGTTTTAGAGGCGCTATAAAAGCGCATCATTTATTATTCAAAAGCAGCGCCGTCTTTCAGCATATTGTCTGCTGCGCTTTAGCTGCACGCCTGCCAGACTTCCCATTACCCATGCTAGGAGAAAATTGATAAAGGCAGACACACTCAGTAAAAACAGCGCCAGGGGCGGTCTAGCACGCGCACCCTCATATGCAGATCGCAGTAATTAGGCTACTCTAACATCTTAAATGCACCTATTCTTTTATTAGTTTTTTGAAAGATGGATGATTTCATGCTTTTAATTTATTTAGGTCAATCCATCGGTTTGATCCCCCATTATTCAGTGGGTTTCAAAAGATGTGGCGAAGGGAAAATAAGTCTGTCTCACACGTGCACCCAGGGTTACACAGTTTGGCATGCTGGAGGTATGAGGTGACATCAACATGTGTTATAATAAAGTAAAATAATGTGTTTTTGGCTTGAACTCTGGAATACATTACCATCCAACACAATGGTAGGCAGTTCTGTAATGTGGAGTCCACTGTCACATTATTAAACCTAAAAAACTCTCTCTCTCTCTCTCTCTCTCTCTCTCTCTCTCTCTCTCTCTCTCTCTCTCTCCTCTCTCTCTCTCTCTCTCTCTCTCTCTGTGTCTGTGTGTGTGAGTGTGAATATTTTTTTTATTTTTTTTTACCACAGCTTGTGGTGGCAAGTGTCAATACCACAATATACTGTCAGTAAGTGTAGAAATGGATTGAACAGAGCTATACTTTTCCTTGCAGTCAGCAGATGAGAAAGGACATAGAGAACTGATTAGGTTGACAGTCGCTGCATTTGATGACTCTAAGTTGCTCTGGATAAGAACATCTGGTAAACACACAGACACACACACAGACACACAGACACACACACACACACACACACACACACACACACACACACACACACACACACACACACACACACACACACACACACACACACACACACACACACACACACACACACACACACACACACACACACACACACACACACACACACACACACACAGAGCCTATCCTGCCCCATTCGCCTTTTCTGAGGTCATCAATCCCAATGATGTTTTCTCTATGGCCATCAGTCTTGAAGTCTCTGCTTCTGTTGCATACTTTCCTTCACCCACACATAGCCAATGGACTCACTCAAGATTACCCATGGCTGCACAGACATTAGCAGGAAACACTCATTAACACACATAAACACACACACACACACACACACACCACACACACACACACACACACCACACACACACACACACACACACACACACAACACACACACACACACACACACACACACACACACACACACACACCACACACACACACACACACACACACACACACACACACACACACACACACACACACACACACACACACACACACACACACACACACACACACACACACACACACACACACACACACACACACAAACAATCGTTCAAACAGCATCTGCTCTAGAAATGATGCATCCATTATTTATTAAAGGACTACAAATAGCATGCAACCAGACACACTCACACAAATTAAAACCAAAACAAACATTCACAGCAATAATTGTCCTCGAATTTAAATAATTGATGTTAAAATAAGAATGTATAGTGTTTTTCAGTTCTAATCTTATGTTCATCTGCCTCTGAGATTCTGAGAGTAAGGCCAATCTACATGCTGAGATTTTAGAAGGGTTTGAAAATAATACGACACCTCAAGGATATGTAGCAGGAACTCAGAAATGTTATACAGTGCCTTCGGAAAGTAGTCAGACCCCTTGACTTTTTCCACATTTTGTTACGTTACAGCCTTATTTTAAAATTGATTAAATAATTGTTTTCCCTCAGCAATCTACACACAATACCCATAATGTCGAAGCAAAAACCGGTTTTTAGACATTTCAAATGTATTAAAAATAAAAAACAGAAACACCTTATTTACATAAGTATTCAGACCCTTTGCTATGAGACTCAAAATTGAGCTCAGTTGCCTCCTGTTTCCATTGATCATCCTTGAGATGTTTTTACATCTTGATTGGAGTCCACTTGTGGTAAATTCAATTGATTGGACATGATTTGGAAAGGCACACACCTGTCAATATAAGGTCTCACAGTTGACAGTGCATGTCAGAGCAAAAACCAAGCCATGAGGTCGAAGGAATTATCTGTAGAGCTTCAAGACAGGATTGCGTCGAGGCACAGATCTGGGGAAGGATACCAAAACATTTCTGCAGCATTGAAGGTCCCCAAGAACACAGT